GCTGAGCCCAGGTGGGGCAGGATTTTCCCACAAACGCCTTTGTGAAGGTCACGGTGACCGGGCTCCAGAGGCAGGATGCAGGGCTGTATCAGTGTGTGGTTGAATGTCCTCTGAATGACCACCTTGTCCTGCATAATTGAGCTCACCTGGTTCCCTGAAAAGGTAAGCAGCTGGGAGACCTCTCCAAGCGAAGGGGCTGTGCTGGGCTGACCTCTTCAACCACAGCCCATGAGAAGGATTCTCTCTGCCAGGAGAGCTCTCTCCTTGCTCTGTCAACCTGTCTCTGATCTGGGCTGACTTCTTGCTATTTCTTTGGTACTTGTAAGAGAAAAATCCTACTTCATGAATTGTAATTGTTTTAAACCTTAGTTTCACATATCTATTCATCCAGCTAGTTATCCTTCTATTCCTGTACCCATCACACACTCACCCCACTTGGTATCCATCTTCTTGTCTCCTCAACTCCAAACAAACCATCCAACCCACCCGCTCATTCAAAAATCCACATAGCCATGCATCTGTCACACTGCTTGACACTCTACTGTCCACCAGACACTATCATTAATTCTTGGATTACAATGATAAATACTGGGATTACAGTCCAGTGACTAGTTCATATTGATTAGGCATCAGATGCCATCAGGTCAGCACTTCTCATAGAAAAGTCCTTGCTGGTATTACAGTAGGGCTTGCATTTCCAACAGAGCATTGTCAACTGCCTTCTTGAATGATACAATATTCCATTTGGAAAGGTAAAAGTCATTCTTCTTGAAGCCAGGGAAAAGAGGGTGTCTTGAGGCTGGTCGGCAGAGGTGTCAACAAAGGCACCTCTTCTTTAAGGAGAAAGACAAAGTCAGATTGATTCATTAGGACCACAATCCTGAGTTCAGTATTCCCATCCACTTATGACTCTCCCCATCACCTGCTACCCTGCCTGATGCTGCTTGGCTCCAGGGTTGGTGCTTCACCTATAATTTTATATTATGAATCCTTCAGGTGCTGCTGCCTCAGATGAGCATTCCACCCAGACCTTGACTGAGACATCTATCCTTCCTTGGACCAGCACCAAGACTCTGAAAACACGCCATCCCAGGCGTAGGATGGTTGCCCAACCGTTGCTCTCTGTGTCTTCTCTTCTGATCTCAACTTCACAAATGTGGATGATGTCAGATTTGCAGGCCTCTGCGCCCCTGATTGGACACAGAGTCCTCTGCTTTTCAGTCCATGTGCTGAGAGGAAGGGACAGTGAAGGATGGGGAGGTACAGGGTAGGAGAAGCTTGAGTCTACCTCACTGTGGGTCTGAAAGAGCAAAGAGATGAGTGGCAGCACAAAGGGAAGTCTCTTGGGGAGGTGTCTGTGCTTCTGAGCCACCCTCAGTGTGGCTTGCAGAACAGAGGGAAATGGCATCTTTGATGGAGTACATGAGCCTCAACAAACTCTTCCCCTGTCTCTACTCCCCACCAGTTCTAATGACTTAGTGGAAAGAGATCCCTGAGAGTGAGACTGTGGATACCAGAGCTGGATCGACTAAAATCTGTGCAGCCTTCCTTGTCTGACCTCCAAGGATGCCATGGCATGGGAACTGGAGGACGGAATCGAGCCCAGAGACTCTTAGCAGTAAATACATATTAGATCACTTGGTGTATTTGTTTTTTGCTTTCCTTTATTTGACTTTTAATATTGTTATATACACCCTATCCAGAAAAAGAAATCAGAATTTCTAGAGGTCACATCTAACCACCAGTATCTTTTAAAAGATCTCCACAAGATTGCAATGTGGAAGGCAGAATTAAGCACCATTCACTTGTCATGCATCCCATTAAACCAAACCCAAACCCACTTCTGGTAAGTTGGTTCTGATTCACAGCTAGCCTCCATGAGAGGCGACAGCCCATTTTGCCCTCAGAAGTGATGGGAGGATTTGAAAAGTCAGCCTAGCCCATTGCTTTATGCTGTATGCCATCTTCTCTCCTTTGTATCACCATTATATTTTATTAATAAATGTTGACTAACCTTAATTGCATTTCAATAACTTAAATAAAATTTCTTTCATATTCTCTTACTTCCATTCTTCAATATCTTATTACTCTTACACTTCATTTTTCCTGTATATGTTCTTTCTTCATCCCAAAGTATATTTTAAAGGGTCCTTGAAGGTTTGCCTCAGTAATTGAAAGGTCAAAACTAGGAACCTATTTCTGTAGAGAGTAGTCTAGGAAACTCCACTGGGGGGCTCTATTTTGCTGTACAGGGTGACTATAAGTCAGAATCAATCAAAGACATACAGGAACATACACATTTTAACATACCTTTAATTCTGATTATACTTTTCTATTCTCTTTTTGCTAAAACTAGTCTTTGAAGTTATTATCTAATAGTCAAAATTGTGCAGTTAAGCATGTGAGAGCTGGAGCCTGTTAAGATTTCCTTGTGTTTCCGGGTCTTGCAAGTTTTCAGTGTCTTTCCCTGCTGCATTCTTCAGGGGTGGGAGAGGGTTCTTGGGCTGCAGCAGGCACAGCTGATAATGCCACTCCTGGTTCTTGCCCTGGATCGTAACTCATTGTCCTGGCCTGGCTGGTGCTCTTATGTAGAAACCTTATCCCACTCCGCAGATGTCTGTAACTTCCTCTCGTCTAGAACTGGGCAGCTGGGTTTGTACTTTCATTTGTGGTCCTTTGGAATGCACTTCCCAGAGAAAGGGGTGGGAAATCATGGAAGGATATAGGATGGGGAAGGGTTAAGATGCAGGAGAAGATGTGACAGTGTGAGGAGAATCCCATATTTGGGAATCAAAAACCTTGTTAACTAGATTGTTGCATCTGCTGGCCAGCAGACAATATCAGACATGCCTCTTGATATTTTATCCCCAGATCCTGAGAAATACACTCAAGACAGAGATAAATGTGACTGAAAAAAGAAAGATCATACGTCTTCCCCAAACTGAACCAAACTGAAGAGTTTTCTTCCTAAAATGTAAGAACGTCAAAGTGGCTCAGAATCAGACAATCAGGATTTCTGGCCGTGTCTACAGGTCTGTGCTTGGAGCACCAGTGTGATTACCCACAGACTCCATTTCAGCTACGACCAAAGCCAATTTCCTCTTAAATTTCCAAAAGCAAATACATATTGCGTTGGAATGACTCATGTGGCATGTTACATCACACAAGGGACAGGGAGGGTGAGATGACAAGTTCTCTCCGTTTAGGTTCCTGGAAGCTGTCCCCAAGTGCACTCCTTGTCCCGGTGGCATCCGCTTGTTCTTCTCATAACATTGCCCCTTACGATTCCCTTCTAGTTCTCCTACGTAGGAGTACAGATCTATCTGTGTCTGTAAATGTCAGCAGCTTTCAAGCAAGATTTTCCATTTCCTAGACCTCTACTGATTCTAAAGGGAAGGGCTGCATGGCAGGGAAACGGCAGTGGGATCTTCTGTTCCTATTGGGCAATACCAGTAGCCTTTGAGTCCACGTCCACTAATGGTGATCCCATGCGTGTCAGAGTAGAAATGTGCTCCAACATTTTGACTCGTAGATGAGCACGCAAATAATTTTCATCACTCAGAGTCCTTCTGAGCTATGACCAAAGTCAATTTTCTCCTAAATTTCCCAAAGTGAATATACATTGATTCTGAGTGACTCATGTTGCATGTCATGCCACACCCACAGGATGTAGAATTCTGGGCAGAATCGTGCACTTGCGCAGGCCAAGATCAAGCCATATGCCTGCACCCTCACTGCCTGCTGAAAGGAGAAGGAGATTAACTGCATCCAGCCTTAATACAAGGGGGAAGGGCTATGCATCCCATTGAGGCTCACATACTGGCTCATGTTCTCCAAATAAAAATGGTATTTGGTGCTAGGAGCCAATGTGATGAACAGCCAGTAAACAAGCTCCTAAATTAGGGTTGATTGAAGGAGCTCTGGTGGCTTAGCAGTAAGGAGTTGTGCTGCCAGTTCAAAGGCAGGTAGTGTGAATCCACCAGCAGCTCCGTGGAAGAGAGAGAGAATCTCATCCCATGCAATTTACTGACTCAGAAAACCCACTGGAGGGTCAGCTGTGGGTTGGTTCCAACTTGATGGTGCACAACAACAACAAGAAGAAAAGCTGTCACACTGTGGGACTTTAGAAGCAGTAGTGACTCTCATTGTTATTTTAATTGTTCAGGTCTCTATGCCTCTTCCTGGACTAGATTGCTCAGAGAAACACACATCTGGTACAGATAAGACAACTGACTTTTTAAACCTGACCAGAACCAAACAGGCAGGTTCTGTTATGGACACTTGCCTCATAATACATTAGGGTGTTTCTAAAAAAAAATTAAAAAATAAAAATATGTTTATATATATGTGTGTATATATATAAACCTTCCCCAAAGCTACCAGATTACAATTTCTAGGGGTAGAGGAGTAGAGCCTGGGCATGTGTGTATTTATGATGCTTCTTGAGTACATGGGTAACATACCACTAGTGAGAACCAATAGTGTAGACAATAATTAAAGAATTGAGGTTGACCAGAAAGAAAGCTTGAACTGGGTCTTTGCAGACAGACAATCATCACTCCAGAAGAGAGAAGAGTGGGATAGATGGACTGGTCAGTGGCCAGAGCAGCAACTCTCTTGGTGATCTGAGGCAGGAAGTGGAGCAGAGATGGGGGATTAGGTGCAGAGATCTGTAAGGGTCAACTGAGGATCTTAGCGTGGTGGTGATGGAGAATAGGGAATCACTGAGTGTTTCTCAATAGGACTGTTACGTAACAAAATCAGGAAGGAAAGTGTCACAAGAGCAGGGCTTTCTCTTCGTGTTGCCTTCTGCATTTTCCTGAGATGCTCCTTTTCATCCCTCAGAGATTCACAATTGCAAAGTTAGGGTGAGGACACTCAGGGACAATGACAAATATCCATGAGCACTCACTTCCTCCGACAACTCAGAAAGGCCTTGTGATGGGCAACAGACGGAGGATCCAGAAGTGGAGTAGAACAAGGGGGACCGGGCTCTGGACATGCCCATGTTTGCTGCTGCTGCTGCTGCTGCTGCTGCTGCTGCCGCCAAGTGTCTCAGGTAAGGAGAGGCAGGACAGCTGGGGGGCATGGTGCCAGGGGCAGGGAAGCAGACACTTGAGGGGAGATTTATTGCTGTCAGTTGACTCGGATCCAGACTCGGAAGACCCCACATGCTTCAGAGTAGAACGGAACTTCAGACAGTTTTATGACTGACTTTTTCAGCATCAGAGCTTTGATCTGAAGCATCTTTGTGTTATTTCAACTCTATAGCTTGGGGAGTTCTAGCTGATGAAAGGTGCCCAATAAGAAGATTCTTCTCCTCTCACATTAGGATGATGTAGACAGTATCTGCATTTAGGGGCAGGTATAGCAAAAAGTCAGTCTAGAGATTAAGCTGCATCTGTTCCAGGTCAACATCTTTGCAATTACTTGCTATGCATCTGAGAGCTGGACAATGACTAAAGATGACAGAAGAATTGATGCCTTTGAGTTGTGCTGCTGGAGAAGAGTATTGAACATACTAGGGATGCAAGAGAACTAACAGGTCTGTCCTGGAGAAGGTAAAACCAGTTTGCTCCTTGGAGGCAAGGATTTTGAAGCTCTGTCTCACATACTTTGGGCATGTTGCCAGAAGGGACCAGTCCTTGAAGAAGGACATAATGTTTGGAAGGGTAGAGGGACAGAAGAGGAGAGGAAGATCTTGGAGGAATTGGATTGTCACAATAATTAGGGTAATGAGGGTAGGTGTGACAGAGATCTTGAGACTGGCTCAGGATAAGGCAGGGTTCAGAGCCATTGTCCATAGGGTCACTATGAGTAACAGTGGATTTGATGGCATATAAAAAACAACAACGTAGCAAAAAGAGGATGATGAATGCACACTGGACTATCACAAGCTGAGCAATGAGACAGAAGCTATGGGTCCCCCTGGAGCATCCTGAAGAGGAGAAAATGTATGTGGAGTCATTGAAGAAATCGTCATCACTGTGTTGATGACCTGCAAATGATTAGCAGAGCCTTCCCTAAAGGAGCATCCAGTCACTGGGACGGAAAAGGAATTGGTCACAGAAAAGATAGAGAGAAGTATCAAAGTAAAGACAAACTTTTAGTGGACGTTTTAGAGGGCACCAAAAAAAGTATGAAGAGGTTTGGGATTCAGGAATCAGACAGTATTCTTTTCAGATCCCAGGTATGTCTGATTCAGGCACTAGCTATGCATCTAAGAGCTAGACAGTGAATACAGATGATAGAAGAGAAATTTATGCCTTTGAGCCGTGGTGTTGGAGAAGATGTCTTGGAGAGGGTGGAGCTGGGGTGCTCTTTGGAGTCAAGAATGATGAGGCTTCACCTCACACACTTTGGGCATGTTGCTTGGAGGGGCTATTCCTTGGAGAGGGATATGATGTTGCAAAGGGTGGAGGGTCGGCAAAGGAGAAGAAGACCCTCAACCAGGTGGATTGACATGGTGACTACTGCAATAGACTGTTGTGGATTGGGAAGTGTGAGAATGGCCCAAAATAGAACAAGGTTCAGATCTTTTGTTCATAGGGTCTCCATGAATCATACTCGACTTGACAGCATCAAACAACAACAACAACAACAGAAGCAATCTCTTCTACTCTTGAAATATATGCCCTTGAGAAACTCCTTTACCTTCTTGGAACCTAAGTTTCTTCATTTCTAAATAAGTTTCACATGATACCTACCTAAGAATGTTATTAGACTTAAGCAGTGGAATGATTGAAAGCTCCTAGCTTAGTATCTATTACAAATGTTCAGAAAAGTTAAAATTGCACAGGACAATGGTGGTGGTGGTGATCATAGGATGATGTAACCACGTATAGGGTGATCAGTATTGTTGAGGGGTGAGACTAAAGACAGAAGAGCAGATATTAACATCAGCTGAAACTGTAGAGGTGACTCCACCCTGGGACTGAGAGGAACGAAAAGGGTGGACCAAAAAGGGAAGAGAATTTGAATTGAAAACAGCCTAAGTGAATACAAAGAGTAATATTCTGGAACCCAGGGGGGTTATTTGGGGAACCGGAAGTAGAGTGGTGGTGAAGATGGGTGGTGAAATGATGCAGGTATTTAAAAATTTTATATTGGATAAAGTTGGTTAACTTCCAAAAGATGTGAAAAGGATAACCATTATAGAGTTATCATCTAGACTGAATTATGACAATATTTTGCCTCATTTGTTTAATGGGTGTGTACTGAGTCGTGTGTGTGTGTGTGTGTGTGTGTGTGTGTGTGTGTGTGTGTGTATACACACAAGCATATATGACTCTAATGGTTCTGAAGTGAGGAGAGGCAGGGAGGGGCTAAGGGGTAAAGGACAGGGCTCTGGAGGAGGTATATAAACATACACTTCATAATAATTCATGGAAATCCCAGATGTCTCATAAATGTTTGATGACACTATTACTTTAGCTGACCTGTGATCTTGGTGACTTCTGTGTAGCCTGAGGCTGGGAGGTGCTGGGGTGGTAGAAAATTGTCTGATCAGTGATACTGTTTTCAATCCTCATTCCAGGGCTCCAAGCAGTAAACATCCGTGAAATGAAAGTGTGTCTCACAGAAGGAGGCAGCCTGACCTTGACCTGTCCTTACAACATCAGGAAATACGCCCTCCGTCCAAAGGCCTGGCAGAGAGTAAGAAGCCAGGGCCCCCCTGAGACACTGGTGCATATAGAAAGCAGAGACACAAGCACACCAAACCAAGTCCAGGCTGGGAGGTACCTGCTGGAGGATTTACCCACAGAAGCCGTTGTGAAGATCACAGTGACAGGGCTCCAGAGGCAGGATAAAGGACTGTATCAATGTGTGGTTGACCTCTCTCCTAGTGAACCCTTTGTCCTGCATGATCGAGTTCGGCTGTCACTGTGCAATGGTGAGAAGCCAGGGGACCTTTCCCATGGAAGGGGCTGTGCAGGGCTGACCTCCTCCACCATGCAGGGGTCTCTTTTGACGTGAGGGGCCTCCTTCCTTCCCTCTGTCACTGAGCAGGATGACTTGATAATATCTCTTTAGGCATGTCATCGTTGTTATGTGCCATCAAGTCACCTGTGACTCATAGCAACCCTGTATAGATACAATACCTGTGAACTCTGCCCTGTCCTGAGCCAGTCTCACTGTATCTGACACACCTACCCTCACTATCCCAGATACTGTATCAATCCATCTCATCTGGGGTCTTCCTCTCCTGCGCTGACCCACTACCCTTTCAAACATGATATTCTTCTCTAATGATACCTGGCCATGTACCCAAAGCATGTGAGATGGAGCTTCAAAATTCTAGCCTCCAAGGAGAAACTTGGTTTCACCCTCTCCAAGACAGATCCGTTTGTTCTCTGTAGACATAGTAAGAACAATCTTTGTTTCATGAATTATCTACTTCATATCTTTCCTCAGTCTCACTCCTCATCCATCTGTTCATCTACCTGCGTATTCATCTATCTTTCCACCAACTCTCTCAGTCTCCGTCTATCTCCTCAACTCCCCAAAACCCATCCAACTCACTCACTCATCCACATGTCTTATTTTTTGTTTCACAATTTATTGAAAACCAGGCATCAGCACTCATTCTTGGGTTACAGCAGTGGACAGAAAAACATCCCATTCCTTATTGAGTTTATAATCTGGTGACTAGCTCATGTGGATTGGGTATAAGATGTCAGCAGGTCTTATCACCTGTAGCAGAAATTTAAAGTAGTGTTTACACTTGAAGTAGAACCTAATCAGCTGTCTACTCCAATTATGGACAGAATCTATAGATAGAGAAGAAAAGCCTTTTGAATTTAGAGAGAGGGGGGGTGTCTTGAGGCTGGTGGGACAGAGGTGTCCACAAAGGCTTCCTGAAGAAGGACAGACTTCAGCTGAGTCACCAGGTCCACAATCCTGGCTTGAGTTGAATACTCTCCATATCTCTTAAAACTCTCCCCTTTCCCCACCTCTCTGCTTCTTGTCTCCCAGGTTGATGCTTCTCTTGTGATTGTGTCTCCTCCCAGATCCTTCAGCTACTGTTGTCTCAAATAAGAATCCCACCCAGACCTTAAGTGAGACAGTCATCCCTCCTTTGATCACTACCAAGGCCCTGAGAATATCTACTCCCACGCCCACAACTACGACCCAGTTCTCCAGTGTCTCCTCTCCTGGTGCCAATCTCACAAATGTGGAAGACGTGACCAGGTATTGTTCACAGGTCTCTGGGCCCTTGATTGGACACAGAGCCCTTTGTTTCTTGTGCTGAAAGGGACAGGGAGAGATGAGAGGAAGTGGAGAGAGGGTAGGTAGGGCAAGAGCTATCTTGAGCTTGCCTCAATCTGAAGCAGGACTTACAGAAGAGAATAAAGGTGATGGCCATGTGAGGAGGAGCTCTTGAGGAGGTGACTACACTCCTAACCTACCCTCAAGGTCCCTTGCAGACTAGTGGACAGAGGGAAATTGCATCTTCAATGGACTTTGATGGGATTCAGTCAACTCTGTCCTCATTGGGTTTAATGACTTAATGGAAAGGGCATCCTGTGTGAGACCATAGATTTCAATGCCAGATAGATGCTGTGTGACTTGTGGGTAAACTACCAGCACATGCACCTCAATTTCCTCTGATCTATACGGATGCTGGAACAGCAAAGCTGGGATAAAAAAGGTAGCCCAACACCTCTCAGCAGTAGCTACATGTTAGAATTCCCTGGCATGTTCATTTTTGCTTTCCTTTGTTTTGTTTTTGATGTTGCATGAGGCCTGCTGCAGAGTAATAATAAATCAGAATTTCCAGAGGTGGAATCTGGTCTCCAGCCTGTTTAAAATAGTTCTTCAGTATATGGGCAGAGTTAAGAACCACTCACAAAATGCTCACACCCCCCCCCCCCATTGCACTTTATTATTGTGGACAGGTTAGAATTACAAAGTGTTTCTCATAAAACATTGAATTAACAGAGGAATAAAAAGGCTTTCATACTCTTCCCTTGTGGTGCTGTTGTTGTTGTCCACTGTTGAGTTGAAATTGAGCCATAGCTGACCATCTATTGGGTTTTCAGACGCCATTTAATAGCACAGAAAGAGCTGGCCCACTGGCCCACCTATCTCTCGAAGAGCAGCTGGTCTATGCTAGTCTCCCACATTTCCACCAATCTAACACATCATTTCACCTCCATATTCTCTTCTAGTCTTTATTCATGCTTATATATTATCAGGATAGTGCCATTTCATTTCACAAATGTGGCGTATGTTGTCAGGAGGGGTCGGTCTTTGGAAAAAGCCATCAGGCTGGGAAAGGTGGAGGGTCAGAGAAAGAGAGGAAGACCGTTGACATGGTAGGTTGATAGAGTGACTCTGAGAATGGGCTGGAGCGTGCAGGAGATTGTGAGGACGGGACAGGATGGGGCAGGACCTCTGCTTCTTCTTCATAGGGGCGCTTGGAGTTGCAGCTGACTCAGTGCTACCTAACAATATATAT